GACAGATAGATAGATAGATAGATAGATAGATAGATAGATAGATAGATGGACAGATAGATAGATAGATAGATAGGTTTACTAATAAAAAAATTTAAAGAAAAAAAATTCTTCTTGCAAAATAATAATTTCTGAGTTTACTCTTTCTATATATTTGTTCATGCAATTCATGTTATATAGATATGTAAGAAATTACAATGGCATTACTTTCAGTCACATTTTTATATATAGAAAAAAAAATTCTGAGGAAAATCAGTGCAGTGCTGTCTGGTAAATACTGTAAAAGAGAGAAAAGGAGGACAGTGTTTGTGTGAAGTGCTGGTAAAAAACATCCAGAGATAGAGAGGTGTGGAGAGATGAAAGAGGAGGCCGAAGAAAGACAGAAATAAGTGCAGGTGTCATGTCTGTCTCCAGCAGCATCAGTCAAGAGTCACGTCCCAGCCGTCACATTCAATCTGAAACACCATCACAGGAGAACCTCCCCTGACGACTCCCGTCTCCTTCCCTTCATCCCTCTTTCATTCCGCTCTCTTTCACGTTCAGCAAACCCGTCGGGTTTGATCGCTTGAACGTTTCTTTGGTTTCTTTATTGTAACACACAGGGATGTTTATTTGAAAAATAACAAACATGCACAAATGCTGAAATTGCGTTTGACTGCTCGGCTCTCAAGGTTTCACAGCCTCAGATAACAGATTTCAGATATGTGTGTGGGTGAATCATGCGAAACCTGTCATGCACAAGCCATGCTTCACTCCAAAAATCAAAGGAAATATATAAAAAAGGAGAAAAAGACAAATTAAAACTATATTATTTTACTTGTAAAGTATTTATGCATCATTGTATTTTTATTTTGATCTTTTGGGTGTTTAATGTGACCTATTTCTTTGGTATTTCCCCATGCGTGAATGTACGGATGACCTTGTTCAGAGTAAACATTAGACAGCATATGGTGGTAGTAAAGGAGAAAGAGTTTCAGTGTTTGATCTCTAGTGTAGCATCAGTGCAGATTTGAGACCCGGACCTCCCTCTGAGGAGGAAGGCCAGGCAACGGCTTATTAGCTCTGTAATTATCATACGCTTGTTCTGTGAAGGACACCCGCTGAGCTCAGAATAAAACAAGCTCTGAAGACTTTAATGATGTGTGCATGATGTGCCAAACTCTTAAAGGGACATATCCTGCACTTCTGAAGCATTTCAAGTGCGTTAGATTTCCACCCTCCCACTGACTCTCAGAATTAAACCAGCTGCCTAAATGTTACCGTACCTTTAAGACTTCTCTATGTATATGCAAATCAGGGTGGCTGAGCTCCTGAATAGCTGATAGGTGGGCGGGCACATGTTAATGAGCTCACTAATGTGATTTCATAAATATGACGATTTCATTTATGGGGAGGAGCTCTGAGTTCTGAATTTTAGCATATATCTACATAACAGATATTTCAAATCATGTGATTATTTCAAAAGAGCAAGAACTTCCAAGAT